TCAAAGCTCTTACAAAATATTCTGTATCAGAATAGTGCTATTCTGGACTTGGGGCTTGCATTTTGTTGATTCAGTTTTGTTTTTAGTTCTTTAATGTATTTTGGTATTAAATTTCTTTTCTTTTTTTTAATAGTTTGCCATCTTGGCCAAGTCTACCTTGAAAAAAAAAGTTAATCTTAAAGGTCTTCTTGGTTATTATACAGGTAAAACTAATGAAAAATAAATGCATCCAGTCATAATATGAGACATGACCTCCAAATGACACTGAGCAGTTATGGCAGCCCATACAGGTACAGTTGCATGTCCTCACTTGTGTAAACTTCACTAAACAATGCACACTTTCAAACCGCATGTCTGCGTTTTGAAATCATGAGGCATGACATGGAGCGCTGCAGTTTCTGTGTCTGGTGAAGCGTGTCCAATCATTCCTATGGACAAAAAAATAATAATACTACAAACAAAATCTATCCACCTTTGGAGTGAACTTCTAACCTCAAAACTTGTTCATGATATCAGGAGGGTTAAAGGGTTGCAGAATGGTCCAAGGGTCCATTTACACATTTGTTGAAGTCTGTGACGTTTTCCACTCCAGATTCAAATGCACAATTCCCTTCCCATTCCATCTGTGTACCTCACACATACGACAGCTATGCCCTGCAAAAGCACAGCAATCCCTCTCTAAACAGGTTTTGTGAAAGCAGCTTATGTGTTTTCTGAAGCAGAGCAGAAGAGAGACAGTGGGGCCTATTGTGTAACATTCCTCTGACATACCTTCTTTCATAAGTGACAACAAATATCCTTCCTCTTCTTTGAACTTTGAAGTTTTCTCCAAAGTTATTGATAGCTCTGACAGTTTTATTCGGTTTAGAACTGCTCTTAAACTCATAACTCATCAGGAATCCTAACCAGCTGCTGGCAGTGGCATTTCCTCCTTTAGGCTGACTGCAATTGTCCTCCACACATCTTTGTTTTCACCTTGCCTTAGATGAGAACACAGGAAATGTTTAGTTTGTTTACACACCAGCTGTACGTTAAATTGTGCGCTTCTTCCTTCTTTTTTTTTATTTTTTCTGTGGAAGGTTGTTCTTGAGCTGTGAAGCACCTGGTTCATCTGTTTTCTGCTGGACGATTAAACACAACTTCACTTTTTGCTCCATGAACCTACTGGTCTGTGTGTTTTTCTCCTCCAAGTAATGTCATACTGTTCAGCTCCCCTCCCGGCTGGACAGAGGTGTGCCTCAGAAGGAGAGTGGGGGAGGGAGGATTCACAACCTCTTTAAGATAAAGTCAACAAAAAGCACTTTCTTCAAAAACTGTTTCACAAGTTAAGCTATAAGAATATGTGTTAAACATAATGTGAATAAAATGACACTGGATGGCCCCTGACTTGCAGAGCACCTTGGTTTTGTGCTGTAATGTTACAGGAGAAGAACCAAGACTAGAGAACCCATCGCGCTCTGTTCAAACATCTGGACCTGCATGTCTGAGAACCAACACAATGATGCAGAACTTTCCCATAAAGCGAAGCTTTTCTCGAATTACTCCACCCTGCTGCTGTGAAGCCAGATCTGTGAGCCTGTTGTGATCAGGCATCAAGCCCACCTCCCCCAGGTCAGAGGGAGACTCTTCCTCCCTCCCTGCTGCAGCAGGACCTGTTTGCTTTTCTTCCTTTAGAAACTGACAGTAAAAACCATCTGGTGAGTTTCCACTCTTTCATTACTGGCTTTTTATACAGTAAGTGCCCATTTACTCGACTGCTGCAGTTCGGAGTCTGCTGGTCATTCTACTGGGTTATTTAGATTTAGACTGTGGGCTCTGTGCTGCACTGGGAGAACAGTTAGGAGCGCTGAAGTCAAACAAAAAGGGAAGGGAAAAAAGGAGAGGAAAATTACTCATACAATCCACATTTTTTTATTGGGATGCAAAACAATGTGTTTTATAAAGTATATTTAGCTCTGGCATAAAAAGTATGAGTCACCAGTCTTAACATCATCTCAACATGTAGATTTTGGAATGTAATCCCTCTAACACTGATAATCTTAAAAAAAACACCTCTGATTAATAACCCTGGAGCTCCTTCGTCGAGCTAAGTGATAAGGTATCTCGATCTGAATGCAGCGCTGCATCCTACAGTTAGAGACCACCACAGAGACTGACGAGCCGACGTCAGTCACAGCTGCAGGGATGCAGAAGCAACACCACAAGTTAAAACAAAGGAAACATAAAGGAGCGTTAGCCAACTGTCCGAGCAACAGAACAGTGTTAAGAAGAAAGGCGTTCCTGAGAAATCCCATCAATATCTGAATAGATACACAGCAGCAGAGACGAGGAGAATAAACTAACGCATCAAGAGTTTTGCACAATATCTGTAAAACTGACTGAGCAATATACATTATAGTCTTGGCTAATGTGAATGGCCATCTTGAATCAAGTTGACTCCAAGAGTTAATCAGTTATGTATAATCATTTAATACTTACAAGAAGTTGAAGTAAAATCCATTCAGTGGTTTCTAAAATATTTTGCTGACTGACAGAGTTGACTACAAATAGTTTAATTTCATTAAAAATCTTTTCTAACCTGTTAGCAATCATGATGACTCAGCTACTGCCACACAAAACCTTTGGTCAATATCACTGTCTTTTTTTTGGTAAGGTCAGCTGGCTGTGGCAGCCATCTTGAGTTAAGCTGACTAACATCTGAACTATTGTAAATGTGCATTACTTTGGGAGTGACACTAAAATCTGCCCAGTGGTTCATGAGACAAAGTGGTAATAGACATGCCGAGGCAAAAACACTGTCGTCTGCATTTGCCTTTAGGCGACAGGAGATAATTAACACTGCAGAGTTTCACAAATAGAGGAAACACATGCAAGAAATCCTAGACAAAATTAAAGACAGCTTGTCAAAGGTTGATCAGACAGTCTGGTTTCTGAATGTGTCACAAGTGTTAATGTGGTGCCTGTTCAGACATCAACAAGCGTTAGCCTCCATCCCTCTATGATAAAAGCCAGCTGACTGCAGGGACGCGGTGCATCACTGACCGACTGCGTCAGCTCTGCTCCCCACAGATTTCAAATGGTCGTCTTTTCCGAAGATATGAGCGTAATGATGGAGCCTTTCATCTCACCTCGTCTTTACAACTTTGAAAGCTTCAATATCGACCTAGAGCAGTTATTGATGTTCCTTAAATTGGGTTCAGCTGAGTCCAGAGCATTTGCTGCCAACAAGCTCCCAACTTCTCCAAGCGTGCCAACATCCTTATATTCACCTTTTCACGGAGCGGTGGCTCTGATCCCATCAGACAGCGCCAGCCTGAGACCCCACACTCAGACATACACACCACTCCACAGCGCCATGTTCAATCACAGCGTCTGAGCATCTTTCTGCACTCTGAAATGCTCTCAACAACAGGCCTGACAATCAGTGCATCTGCTAGAGAACAGAGAGGGGTTAATGAGATTTTACCTCCTGGTCTCTGTCGGTTTTACAGCAGACACGTTGAGCTTAACAATCTATGCTCAAACATGACATCTGTTGCTGCTTATTTTTTTTTGCATCTCACGTGATCAAAAGTGCTTTTATCAGAGCACCTGACATGATTTTGTTGGGCAGGTATTGCTTACGCACTGTTGAAGGAAATAATTAACTGTTAGACTAGACATGATATTAACAGTAACATTTACATTTATTCTACAGCTAAACTTACCTGAGGTCTGTGAAACTATGCATAGCTTTTTAGCAAAAATACAAACCTTGAGTGACTGAAGACAATCAGATTTAAAATAAACTGCAGAAGAGCTGGCATGAAGCCCTGATTTTCCACCTTGCTGTTCAAATAATTTAGACTCGGCAGCACACAACCTTAATCAGTGGCATCAAAACAATCATTAACCAGCCTCCTGCCGCTTCCCTCCCCACACACAACTCAGGGCGAGACTGTAGTCAACAACTCAGAGACTCCTCGTCCTCACCTCTCACGCTTCTTGTTCTTCACCGAGCTCAAAAACACAAACAGAACCTGCAGTGTAGCACAGGGCTTCAAACTAAAGCCAAACACACGCTCTCTGCACTAAATGTTCAGTACATCTGCATTTTGTTGTCAGTTTAATCTTCTCTGCTTCACTCTTTGGTTTTCAACAAAAGGTGGACGTTGAACTTCTTTGCTTTTTGCAACTTTTTCAGGCTTTCGCCTCCACATAAACATAATTATATGCAGGTTCTCTGCAAGTAGGACTGTGATATCGACATGTGGCAAAATGCAAGTGAATGCTTTATTTTAGGGTTTATCAACATGCTTTGTGCTTCAGCTGACATGTTGCACACATGGCTTTAGGCTGAATGTTTGAAACTATTAATGCTTGCACAAATCGAATGGCAAAGTTGATAAAGCCATAAATTTGCTGTTTATGAAATTTTAATAAAAAAAAAGTGATTATTTTTGCCTCGGTAAACCAGTTTTGCTCAAAATCCCCAAACGAAAACCCAAAATAAATCACATTGACAAAATCTGAAGGTTTATTAATACACACAATTCATTTCTTCAATGCTGGGCATTATTCAACTCAAATATTCTGTTATTAATTATTTCATGGTTACTAAGAGCAAACAGCTGAACAGTAAACAGGTTTTCAGCAGCAAATCACCAATCTCCTCTGTGTTTATACTGGCTCTTTAATGGTGCAAAGGTTATAAACCCAAGCCATTGGCTGTAATAGGAGCAGTGCTCTCCCATAGGTTAGGAGGTTACAAACACACCACTGATAGGCTGCATCTGAACGGTGTCAGGAGGAAGCCATCTGCTCCTGTTTATGGTCCATTAACCCTGCTACCCCTGGATACTCAGACTGCCCCCACAGCAACAGGTTCAAGAGGCCAAAGATGAGATTTAGATATTATTAGATTTGAAGAAGAGATAACTGTTGGTGTCATGTCTTCGCTTCAGTGCGTTTTCTCTCATTTGCACAGTTACATTACGGAGGAGTGACTGGAAAGTCCTTACCTTCCCAGAAGTTCGTAGGCATACTGGGAATCTGCCAGCAGTAATGCGATCTCACCCTTCTGCATGGACATGACACACTCCTCCAGAGCCTGCAGTGTCAAGAAACACTTCTTGGAACACTTACTGGAAAGGTTTCATGTCCAGCTTATTGCACAGTTAAACGAAAAAGTGAAAGCACATCCGAACAACTTTAACGAGACTGATGTAAATGCCAGTAAATTGATTAGATAATGTATGTTTTGTTATTTTATATTTCTCATTGAGACTGTCAGTCCACAGTTTTAGTTTTAGCTTTTTTTTAAATGGTATAATGCTCAAAAATCTTACATGAACATTAAAGACAAATGTTTTGACTCATAAGATCTTTTTAAAGCTCAAGATTATTGAACACTGAGCTTGATGAATTTAAAAGAATCCATAAAAATCCTCAACTTTTCTTTTAAAGATTTTTGAACTACAAATTTACCCATCCATCCATCCATCCATTATCTTTACCCGCTTATTCCATTTTGGGTCACGGGAGTCGCCCATGTCCAGCAATCACTGTGCGAGAGGCGGAGTACACCCTGGACGGGTCGCAGGTCCATCACAGGGACACATAGAGACAAACAACCATTCACTCACTCACCTAGGGACAATTTAGAGTTACCAATCAGCCTAACATGCATGTTTTTGGTCTGTGGGAGGAAACCGGAGTACCCGGAGAAAACCCACGCATGCACGGAGAGAACATGCAAACTCCACCCAGAAAGGCCCCTGGACCGGGGTTTGAACCAAGGACCTGCTCGCTGAGAGGCAGCAGCTCTACCAGTTGTGCCACCGTGCTGCCCAAATTTACCCAAACACCATAATATTGACAACCGCTGCCTTGACAATAAAGCATGGTGCAATTTTAACGTTAATCATTTAATTTGGGCTATAAAGAGGTCAACAGCCACAGTCTTCATCTTACAATAATTTGTAAGTGTTGGTGAGTACCGGTAGTTCTGAACTTGTTGAGCATCAGCTTTCCCTTTAGCATCAGCTTTGGTTTTATGAAGACTAGAAAATGAGTAGGAAAGCGCATGCTAACATGAGAACTGTGAGCTTTCTGCTGCTAACATTTAACATTTACAGGCCCATAAAGCCACCAACACAGGCCTGTAGTTTAACTGACCTACTTCTGTTGATCACTGTGTGAGATGATACATAAACCAATAACAAACACTCAATAATGATCAAGATCCTGTTAAAAAGTATCACCTGAATAACATCCCTCTCCCCGATCACAAAGACTAGGTTGCAGTCCTTCTCCACAACAGTACGGTCCTCAAGAACGCCCTGCATCCTCACAGTGACCTCCGTACCCCAAGATGGGTGTGGGACTTGTGGATCACCGGCCTCAAGCACTTTTTTCCTCAATAACTGGTCTTCTGCAATGGGGGGAAGGGGAAAGAAAATACAGTAAAAATCAGGACCGATATACTAACTGTGGATATATATATATATATATATATATATATATATATATATATATAGTATATATGTGCACTGACACAGCCATAGAGACATGATTTCCATCACATTTTGGTGTTTTTTTTATTTCTGTGATTTAAACTAGACAATAACTGAGAAGATTAATGATGTTTTTCAGAGTTAACAGACGTCAGCTCTAAAGTCTATACAAGAAACATGCGATTACAGGTCGTTGTCTCACCTGTGATGTTCTCCCAGTCTTCTGCTGCAAAGAGCTCCTTAAAGGAAGTAGTCGTCCACTCCTCTACAGCATATTCTGGGAAGAGAATCTCTGCTGAGCTGTCCCACTCCGACACATCGTCTTCAGTTGAGGGGTCTTGAAATCGTACCATCTTCCAGCTGTTTGTTTCCTTCACTTTCTTTCTCTCCTTGCATTCTGTTTTTCTGCTCTCCTGCTCCAAACGAGGTGAGTTTTTTAACTCAGTGCCTTTACTTTTCTTTGCACAAACGTCTGCGTCAGCCTGCTCTTTCCCAGACCGCAGCTCATTCAGAGAGTCACCATCAGAAAGTTTATCACTTACCTCAGGTGTTATAAGGTCCTCTGTGCAACATGTCTCCATTTCTCCACAGAGAGCCTTGGAGACCATCTGCTTTAGTCCCAAAAACAGATGATCCTCTTTGCTCAGTTGAAACACTGAAATACAAGTTGCTCTCCCTCACACCTGCACTTTGTTTAAACTAAAAATATCTTCAAAAAGTCACATTTCCAACAATCCATGTTGTGCTTCAGTAAATCCAACATCCATAAATTACATCTTCATCTTTGATTTTTGAAATTTGTTTTGCCTCCAGCTGAGTAAAATCCACAGCTCTGTTGCACTTTGACCCCTTCTCCTCACAGCTTCTATCCTTCTTTGTCAACTTCGTTCACCGATGTGGCGGCAACAGAAAATGATCAATGTAAAGAACCTGTGCAGCACAACGATGCGCTCGCAGCCAGCAGGGTTGTGCAGTGGTAATCTACAGGATTAGAAGGGGGGAAAAAACATAATCTGCCAGAACGTCTGTAAGCTTCTTAATGACTTCACTGTCCTCCCGTATAACGTTGTTTCCATGTGTGCAACGTTGCAATATCTGCTACTAAGATCATTGGATAGGCGTTTTAAGTTAGTTTACTTGGCGTCACACTGAGAGGTATTTATTTTCTCTTTTTAAGAAGTGTCACATGATTCATTAGGCTACACTACAGCAACCGACCAGCTGTACAGAAAACACAGTAATGAACCATGAAAGTTAGAACATAAGGTCATGTGACCTATTGTTGTAGTGTTTTGGTGGTTGTTTATACATCTGTACTTCATTATGACGCTGTGTTGCCGTTGTTAAACATGCATATTAAAATTTGATATTGTTGTGAACAAATAAACATTCCATTCTTCAAAAACCTTTATTGTAACAAGCATTGACAGTAACTTTAAACCAGTACTTTAGATTTTTTGATGCAGGGATCTGTGGAAACTTTATGAAAAATTAATATCTTCCCTGCAGCTGATGGCTTTTTGAATGACCTCAGTTTGGAGAAATGAAGTTTAGTTTTGATTTTAAAGTGATAATCTTACAGCTAGACCAGCCCAATAAGAGTCTATTATTGTCATCATAAAATTACTCCAATCTTCAACATTTCAATGCCGTTTAGGCAAATGCTACTTTACATTGTTCCTTACATATTTATATTCTATATAATTCCTTTTTTTTTTTTGCAAAGGCAAAAACGTTTAAATTATTGAAAAATGCTGTTTCTAACTTAATTGTGCTGCTTACAATCAAAATTATTTACTTGTGTTGCAAATTCATTTAATCTAGTTTTTCCCATTCAAACTCAAAATCATAGGATTTTTGACACTTTCCACACAGCACTCATATATTTGTATACATAGATTTTACACACAAATTGGTAAAAAAAATAAATAAATAAATAGCCCTTACTCTCTTTGTAATAAAAACTGTTTTACTAGTTTTAAAGCTGTTCTTTAAGCCAGAGCAGATTTAAATAAGACAAATTATATTTTTGACACCAAATTTCCTTAACACATACATATATTGAGTAAATGTTTGCTTTCTCAAAATGCTTCAAAACAATATGAAGCTTTCCTAACTCTACCAGTTGTGTATACCCATTATAAATTATTACTTCTCGGTCTGCTGCCTTCATACATCTCCTCATACATGTCACTGCGTGAGTGCAGCTACAGCGTGCGCTCTCATGACATTATTACCTGCAGTGTTCCCTCAGTGAGGACTGAACTAGACAAAAGAGCCTTCTCCTACTCTGCTCATGTTTCCTGGAATATCTTGCAAAAAGATCTGAAGCTCTCGACCTTGACCTCTCTAAGTGGCTTTAAACATATGTTAGGCAAAAACCAATGCAGACATGTTCCTGTTTTTAGTTTCCTAAATCGCCTTATAATCTAGCTGGTTTTGTTTTTGCTACTATTTCTCTTGATTGTCCTTTTGGTTGCTATTTTGTTTTGATTTTTTTTTTAAGAGAGAGAGAAACAAATTTGTATGCCTATGCCTATTTAATGACTGTCTATTGTTGTCGTTGTTATCCATTGCTGTCATCACTCTTTGTTAAGAAATCAGGTCTCTCTTGTAAATGAGTCCCCGAGGATCAATGGGATTAATCTGTCTAAAAAAAAAGGTTGAAAGAATGACAATAAAGAATCTCTGAAAGAATACATTATCCACCAAGTGTGCATTTTAATAAACTATCTCACACTTTATGATCAAGTTAAAATGGGTTTAGCATTAACCACTCATTTTCAAACGGTTTGTGTATAAACTTGTAAGTTATAAAATTTAATATTTTTACAAAAACAAATAAATAATCAACCTCTCTAGCCAAATTATTAAAATACTTGGCTACAGCTTTAAAAATGTCATTGCTAATTGCATGTCTTTGGCTCATTTGACAGTAAAATTAACTCAAATAACAATTAAAGTGCCATATTTGCAGGTTCTGGGTCACACATAAACTGTTGTCACTTTAATCACCAAATAATGACTCCACTAAGCATTAGCTTAAGTAGCATTCTGAGAAATATAATTCATTTGTGTGGAGACCAGTGTAAAAAGGAAACAGATAATCTAAATGTTTTGGCTAAAGTCTATTTTCAAAACACTCCTTGTATTTATTTTCTCTTGTGTATAAGTGTGTGCAATGAGAAAACACCTAGCATGTTTACCTGAACCTGGTTGGAGAGTAAATTGGACCTTCACGCAGACCCAAAAAACATCAAACACCAGATAAACGCTGACTGGAAAAAGGCCTGAAACAGACCCAAAACACAAGTTGTTTTCTGTTGCTTTTGCTTTGTTTGCTTTGCTCGAAACCTAGTTTTGTTTTGTTTACCCATTGCTATTTAAGCTAGTTCGTCTATCTGTGTGAGCGCGTGAATGTGCGCGAGTTTGTCAGGAGTTATGTGTGTGTAAGCCACGCCCCCACGTCGTGACGTCGGAGCAGAATGTCGCCTCTGGGCTTCAGTTGTAGAAATGGCAGCGCTGAGACAGGAGCATCGGTTCGGACTCTCCTGTGGCAAAATCAACAAAAACAGCCCGAATCAGAGTCTTTATCACGTCAAACTCACTGACACCGCCATCCGGACCCTCGAAGCCTACCAGAACCTGAAGGTACGCAAAAAAAAAATCAACTTTAGAGCCGCTAATGTGGCTTTTTTCATGTACGTTTGTCCTCCTTTTTATCGTGTCCAAACTTAGGTGACTGATTTAGAAACACACGACTTGTATTTTTTACATTTATTTTTGAATGGAAACAGCACTAAAGTTTAAACACTTGTAGGCTGAATGTTGTCGATACATCCACTGGTGGCAGTGAAATCTGGTCCTCCTTCGCTTTATTTCCCCGACCTACACCGTTTATCAAAATTATTTAGAAATTTTCGATGAATGAGCAAACTTTCAAGGCACTTCTTTAAACAATTAAAGTCGCTTCAAGCTGGGGGAAAAAGAAAAAAAAAAGAGATCCAGATTTAATTTAAGCACGTCTTGTTTACCAACCTGCTTAAACGCCAAGAGAAAAAACATTAGTGATTTCACTTTAGCTTTAAACGCCTGCTGTTTGACGGGAAAGAGACTTATTCGGTAAAATGTAAAAAAAAAAAAAAAAAAAAATGCATGTTCGTTAAAAATGCGATTTAGTAAAAAAAATCTAAGACATTTTTTTCACTTGTGCAGCTCCAATGAGCAAATTCATGAACAAGTTATCAGGCAAATTATTCGTCTCCTAAAGTCCAGAGGGGGTCCTTGTTTTATTCCCTTTACGGTTTATTAGATTCGAGCCAGATGATTTAGTCTGTCCCAGCCACAGTGGTGTTTAGAGCAGCGTTTGATAAGACAGGTGGGTCAGGACTCTTTAGTCGTGTTTGCTCCTCATTCCCGGGTCGGGCTCAACTGGACCTGGACCGGCTCGCAGGGTTCGGACGCTTGTTTTTGTTGTTTTCTGCCCTTTACACGCCTGGAAGCCCGCCCATCTCCGGAGCTCATTGGTCCGTGAAATGGAGTTAAAACTCCATAGTCCGACAGCTTCCTGCAGAACTGAGCAGAGGTTACTTGCAGAAAAAAACAAAACTTTTTCCAAGTCAAACACCACCAGAAGATGCCGGTTCAGACCGCTGGATGCCCATAGGATTAATATAAGATGTCCGCATCAGTTTCAAATAAAGCTAACATTATCCTGTTTATCTAAAAAAGTTAAATCTGGTCCTCTGGACATTCATGTCCCCCTCTTATAATGCTGTGATTGCTAGCATCACTCAGCCCTCTGTGAACAGTAAACAGCCATCAGTGTGCTAATGACCCATTGTTAGGCTGATGGTCCTTCTTGAGCATGTGATCAGCTGGTTTTGGTTGTCAGCAGCAAAACTGGTTGATCCACCCTGAGAAGGTGCTATTTAAGAGACTGAGCTGAATACAGCTCCTCAGACTGAGGAAGTCTCTTGGATGAGAGACGAAACGTTTCTACATTTTTTTGTTGATTTGCTTTGTTTTGTTTTTTTGAATGTCCAGAGGACCAGATTTAACTTTTTTAGATTTTTCTACCTAGATTATTGAGCATGCATCAGGATATTATCCTGTTTACATCAAATTATTGCTGCAAATGAAGGATGTGTTATAATGATTTTCTCATAAATGCTCTGTTTAAACATTGATTTCTAAATAGCACTAAATATGCGTCACTCACTACCAAAAGTCTACCTCATGACTTTTAATAAATGGCTGAAATAAGCAGAATCATGTTTTGTCATGAATAATTAATTGTTTACATTTGATACTGAGCCTGGTTCTGCTGGAGGTTTCCTCATGAGGGAGTTTTTCCTTTCCACGGTTGCCTTTGTGCTTGCTTATTTAAACAATATAAAAGCCTCAGAAAAACTGTACAAACCGTACAAATAAATTAATGTTCACCTTTTATTTGTATTTAGCCTTCATAGAAATTTGAAATCACTGTCAAAAAAAAAGCTCAACTTTGTCAGTATTAAAAGTTTTAACTTTAAACAACATAACCTAACAGCCCATGTTTCTCTTGATACAGCTGGGGGTGTTGTTGCAGGGACACGTTGGCTCAAACTTATTGTGCTTCATCTTGTGACTCTCAACATATTCTATCGAGTGAAAACTCTTCAGATGAAGCAAGTTCGATGTGTTCCCGCCGCTAGTTGGAACGACTCTCCGTCACATTTTGCAGCACACTGACTGAAACCTGCAGTTTATCGGATCTTAAAAAGCCGAACCACGTCCACACCGAAGAATTAGTCTTTCCTCTCTTATCAATGATGTCATCTGCTTTCTCTTCGCTTGTGATATCTTGTTCAGTCACATTCTGACGGTAATGAGCACTCATTTTGAAGCCAAAACTTAACTCGCGTTGGAGGTTAGCCTAGCCTGCTACCGCTAACGCCTTCTGGACTCGAGCTCTTCGTAACATCTACGTCACCACGCGCTCACGTAGTTGTGTCGCGGCTTTTTCTGTTCGGGTTGAAACTGAAGCGGTCGCTTCAACCCGAACAGAAAAAGAAACGCGTCAGTGAAACGCTGTAATCATATCGAAATGTCGAAAATGTGCTTAAAACTCATATCACCGTTATTGAATGAAAGTATAGCGCGACATATATCGATACAGAATTATTGTCCAGCCCTGTGCTTGCTCAAGATGAGAGTCTGCAACGACGTTAGACTCAAAGCATTCTGCTCCTCGTTATTAACTTGCTTTTTATGCGTATGAATGTTTCTGTTCACTGCCCTGAGATGACTTGTGTTCTGACTTGACGCTATAAAAATAAACTGAATTAAATCGAATACTATAGTCTATTGAGTTGGTAAAATATTCCCCAGATGTAAAAGGTAAAGTTCTGTCTTTTTAACTAAAATGACGAGAGTCATTTTGAGGGTGGAATTGAAGCGGTGGAGAGCGTTTAAAGTAAAAGTTGGGCCTAAAATCATTTGCAAATGAGCTGTTCTGACATATTCCTAACTATCTAATGGCCACATTTTTGTAACTATAACTGATCACAACAGATTGTCATATTTAGTTGTTCATAAAGGCGAGGAGTATTTGCTGTTTTCCAACAGTTTTTACAAAAACCCTGATGAGGTTGAATTACATTAACCCCGAAACATTCATTTAATGATGTAAAAACTCTTAGAAGCATCCAAATTAAAATCAAAAGCACACAAAATTGCAGACGTTGACCGTTATAATTGGTTTAAACTAATACAAGATAAAAAAAATAAATAGTTGAAATACGTAATTTACCAATCGCAGTGAGGTTAAGTCACAGAAAAACACACCGCATTGAAAGTGAGCAACAATTCACACTTCAGAAATCACTGCAAGTTAAACTTTGTCACTTAAGAAAAAAATGCACCTTGCTTACTTGTCAAAACGCGTCATATTTAACGTTTAACATTAACTCAAAACCACTGTTTCTCAAAGTTGTCTTCTTCCTTTTTAAAGTAACATGTTTTCATCTTGGTTTGTAGAAAATGGTTCAGGTTTGTTCTGACGGGTGTAAACGCTGCATGACTTTACATACAAAGTGACTTCCTGTTATAGCTTGTGTTTTAGGGTTTTTCAAATATTTTCTATCATTTATAAACGGGTCATAGGAGCTTTGGTAAAGTTTAACAACTGTTTTTCTAATGTGAAAGTGTAATAAATGTAAATGACAGCTTCACATTTTGTTCTAAAAAATGTGTTTGTTTTTTGTGTGGCCGCTGTGAACCTTTAGAAATCAAGCCAGCCAATGGCCAATATAAATTATATCAAAGTATATTTAAAAACTCTTAGAATAACTTAATTTTCCTACTTGGTAATTACATATGAACAAGTATGGCCAATTGCTAGATTGCTGAGGCTCAAATAAAGGCAGCATGTTCTCACGTATAGTACGTTGGTTCAAGAGATTGGAGATAAATGCAATTTGGGATTAACATTTATAATTTCCTCTTTTTTCCCCCTCTCAGGCATCCCTATCGAATCAGCCAGTGGTCTGCTTCAAGGGGAGCCAGGGGGTAAGATTATTTTAAGGTTTTTTTGATTTGGAGCAAAGTCACAGCAGATTTAGATTTATTTTTTTTTTTTTTGGTCATCATATTTTATTATTTTATCATCCAGTTGTCCCTTCCATGGACCCATAGGGAAGTCGGTTTAAGAGTTTTTCTCAAACATTGGAATAAAGTTGATGTCAAGATATTTTTGTAAACTGCTTTCTTCAGTGGATTAGTTCAAACAGATTATGTTTAATGTGCCACACCTCACAGCCTGCGGGGAAAGATGTCATTAATTTTTCAGTAATGCTCAAAAATCCTGTATTAGGCATGTTTGTACAGACACCAGGTGCATAAAGCCTTGGTACAAAAAGTGAGCGCATTCCTTTGAAGTAACCAAAAGAGAAAAATTCCTGTGTCGGGCCACATTAGCAGGGTCAGTACTACACCCTCCTCTCCACTGCTTGGTAGACTACATATTAGCCACACATTTAGTTCTGTTTATAAAAAGTGGTTGTAATCCTTGCGAGAGCTGATTTGGTTAAAGTGACTGCTTTGGTCAAAAATGTTGTCCAAGTGTGGTCATGTGGGCCCAGAAGCCCAATGACAGAGCACACAATGCTCCTCCGGCTGCTAGCCAGGTTACTGGGTCAGGATTGCAACTGGGGAGGCTTTGTTCTGGGAGGGGGGAGCAAGTAGGGGAGTTGGCAAACCCTGGGGAGTCCTTTATGCTGCCACGCCTGTTGTCTCTGTGCAGACATGAAAGATCTGAAAGCTGACGATCTGAAAGGCATGCAAGCTGACATTTTTATTTTATTAATAAGATTTTATATATATATATATATATATATATATATATATATATATATATAATTGGTTTAAAGAAACAATGTTTGTAAACACTGAATGAGCTATCTGCAAAACTGACTAAAGAACAAGTGGCTTGTTAGCGTATTCATGTAAAGCAATGTTAAGTGAGGGCAAGTTAAGTTTGCGTTAATCACTAAAAAGGATTTGGTGAGTATATCCTGGCACATTACATATTCAAATTACTTTGCAGAATTCAAGCATGGTCTCCCTCCCCCTCTGACAACAGTCGCAGAGCTGGATGATTGGGCATTAATGAGCTAGCTACAACCACTGGTTGTGGGGGGAGGCCAGATTAAGCCATTATTGGTTGGCAGTCTGGCATAAAACAGGGATTTTTGCATCTACATCACACATGTAGGTATGGGTTTGTACCTACTAGAAAAGCCTTGTGTCCAGTTGTCAAGTTGCACAAAGTTCAATAGGTCATGTGTCCAACTGTGGAGCTTTATCACAGCAAACACAACTGCCTCATTTTGATCACTGCCCTGCCTGGCCCATGTCACATTTCCTGTAAAGGGGCACTTGTAGGGCCACAAAAACCAGAGGAATTCTTCAAATCACTGTCCTGGCATCACTCCAGCGCTCAGCGGTGTCGGGGGCCGAGGCTCCTATCAAGAAATAGCACACTGAGGTTTTCAGCTGCTTTTTCTGCACATAGCCCTACTATTGTAAATCGTCCTGCCAAGCTTGTAATCATGGAATGAAAGACACAAACTCCCCAGAGACCTCTGAAGTTGGCATTTAAAGCCTACTGTGCAACCTATAAATAGTATTTTTTTAAAAAGCAGCTTATTTTGACCAACACTTTATTTTACTCCTCTAGGTAGGGTAAAGAGACTTGAAACTGGTTGTTCCGTACAAACTGGAAGGGTCTAATCAGTAAATTGCATCTGGAATAAAACAAAAATTAGACTCTGGATTGCTTTATAATCACATGGGATTTAGAATTGCATTCTGAGCTGGTCTGGATTCCCATGGCTGGAATTTCACATCTTAATGCTTATTTTCCTTGGAGGCTCTGTCCATACTGCTCGATGGCATGGTCCGAATTCTTGGAAATGGACCTTGTAAAGTAAATCCATGTGGTTGAGTGCTTATTGATTAGCAAACATGTGTTACTTAAGAACAGGACATATTTCCCATATATTTTCAGATTTGTTGCTGGATTCACAAACTTTAGTTGGATGCTGAATTTGACCAAAACATGGCAGAGCTTTACCATCTATGTGCTTTATTAATTTACTCTTGCATTGGCTGGTTTTATGAGTGTAACATGTCGGTAGTAAACGTACTTTACATTTAAATTGCGAATGGTTTACTCTGTCAGTGATTCATCGGTTTGGTTTCCTTCTCGGCTGATAAATGTTGAAGAGTGGTTGTTTTTGTTTATAACCCTGTCTTGTTTTTATGTGCACAGCTGTCATATGAAGACAGCAGAGCGGGGATGAGGGGAATGTAGAGGTCCTCTTTAAAATAATCTCATGACGACTGTGCGTGAAGGCAGGGCTTCCCCTGGGTTCCCTCCCGCTGGCCCTCTTGATTATTGTACCATTTCACCCCATGCTTTGGCTGAATCCTTGGGAGACATCAGGGCTCCTATCTCACACATGGCTGCTTTCACTCTACCCCCACTTCCTCTCACGCTCGCACTGAAAATAAGCGTTTGCACTGTGCAAGCGTGTACGTGTGCATGCACATACAGATATTTTTTCATCTTTAAGCTATTAGAATAACAATAACAGGAATGTGGTTTGATATCATCCTCTCCCAGAGGCATAGTAGTGAGAAGAAAGTTGTCTCGTGTTTCTGAAAGGGCGCACGTCGCTCTTCATCCACATGCGTTCGCCAACACCAAAATCCCTGCGTTCTGCAGGCTCAAGGCCCTCTGTGTCTTTCAGTCCTATTTAGGAACAAGTTTTACAAGATCTTATCATTAAATAACTTTTGGATGTGACTTGACCAGCGTTTCAAATTGGGACATATAAAGCCCCCGTGGTCTTTAACTAATCCAGCAATTATGTAAATACAATCCTAGATGAAAAACAGAACACTGTGCAGTTATCGTCTTTATGACTTAACAGAAATTAAACCAAAATGCAGAAACTGTGTGAAAACTAACTTAATACCACAATAACTAGTAGAACTCTAAAAAAGTTAAATTTGGTCCTCTGGACATTCAAAAAAACAAAACAAAGCAAATCAACAAAAAAATGTAGAAACGTTTCATCTCTCATGAGACTGAGCTGAATACAGCTCCTCAGACTGAGGAAGTCTCTCGGATGAGAGATGAAACGTTTCTACATTTTTTTGTTGATTTGCTTTGTTTTGTTTTTTTGAATGTCCAGAGGACCAATTTTAACTTTTTTAGATTTTTCTACCTGGATTATTGAGCATGCATCAGGATAACTAGTAGAACTATATTTTTTTTATCAGTACAGTAATCACTTTTAATCATCGTCTTCTGTAAGACCTACAGTAATCACATCCTTGTGGAAAACTTCAACCCACTCTTTCTAACCACATTGTTAATCTTCATTGGGGTTTGGAAGCATTCGTGTTACAAACAACTCTTCTAAGATCGTAAAGAGCATGTGCTTCAGGTTGAGGTCTGGACTTCGACTGGGCCGTTGAAACACCTTGGCTTCTTAATTTTTTTCAGTCGTTCTGTTGTAGACTTGTTGCTGTGCTCCAGGTTCTTGTCCTGTTGCATGACCTTGGTTCGGTCAAGCTTTAGCTGTTGGGTAGACGACCGCCCGTTTTAATGCACCTAAACTTTCTCACTGTGGAATGACGGGTTTCTAATTGTTTAGAAACAGTGGTCCATCCCTGCTGGACTGATGTGCAACGTGAAATGCTTCTCTAAGAAAGTTGCTGATGCATGTCCCTGTTGGTGTTCTGGTAACACATGCACCTTAATAATGCTCCAGACCAGCTGTCAGAATATCTGTTCACACTTGTTATTGAAAATGCTTTTAGTTAGAAGCACTTGGTTGATACTTGCACTCTGAATCCAATTGACAACAAGGATGTATTTCAGTTTTATACACACTGCTTCCTTTTGGCCTAGTTTTGTCAAATGACTATGACAAGAATAGACTGATAGGCTTGCCAATTAGGTCAATTGTTAGCCTTTAAATTACTGGGCGTTCTAAATTCATTAAAAGGCAGGTGCACAAGGAATTGTTAACTCTGCCACCTTTTCTGAACGTGCTTCCTACAACGGGGGTGATATTTTATTTATTTATTTATTTATTTGGTGGGATTGATGCCAAAGTCAGCTGATGGAAATATAATGTCAACTTTTACAAGAACAATGTCATATATACAAAATAAGTGTCTCAGACCAGATAGGAAATGGTACTTTTTGAGAAAATTTTAGAACTCAATTCAAAGTGAGCCTTTAATAAACTATAGCTGAGGTGAAGATGAACTGATAGGCTTCAGGGCTAAATCACACAATTACATAAAATAACAGTTTTTTTTATTTATTTTATCAAAATCAAGTAAACTAATTTATATGAATAGTAAATTGTTACATTTAAAGGCCCCAAAACAAGCAAACAAATGGGCTTTATAAATCCTTTTGCGTTTCCTTCAAAAGTTATTTAAGTTTTTAAAGTACTTTCCAAAAGCACAATCTTGGAATTGTTGAAGGATTACAGACTGACTGCTAGTGTGGAGAGAACGGTCCAGTAATGGGAGTAGAGTATAGCTGTCCAAGTGGGACAGCTCAAGTGAAACAGCAAGGCGTCTACAAGGAAATCACATTACTGGGTTCGGTGTGCCTAAGCTGGTCTGATAACCAGCTGTAAAAAGGAATTTCCTGACTTTCAGACGCTGTCGCCATCAATTCTAAATGACTCGAAGATAAATGTACAAATATATGCATTTTTAAAAAAGCACTGATTAGATTGAGAACACTTTTATTCAGAATATTTATATAATTAAAAAACTGTCACCAACGCTTCCATATTATCTGATTACTGGTGTGTATGTGCCATTTGCATCCATTCATAAATGTGTGAGGGTATCTACGAGGAGGGGTGGAAGTGTCGAGGCGAGCGTTCGTTGAGGTTGACAGATTAACTCCAGCTTTTAGGAGAGGAAAAAAACCCCACAGATTCTGCTTGGCATAACAGGCAGTAACCTCGGGG